ATGCGGTCACACCACCCAACTCCGACTCGTGGTGCACCCATGTTTTTTTTTGTAATGGCTTAATAGTGTATATAAATCCCTACGTAAGTCAAACAGCTGGTTGATCGTTTTAACACCATTAAAGCAATGGTGGCTTGAATCCTAGGGTATATCCCGGCATATCCACGAGTGTTCTGCTGCCAATGCCTCTCCTTCCGAGAGTGACGGACTTCCCCCCGACCACCGCTCTCGTCCATCGGAGAGAGGGACCGCGCGCGCTCGCGAGGACCGGTCCTCCGTGCGGACCGGTCCGCAATGTACAGTATCGACACTGGTCGTCGGGTGGCTCCGGGGACTGCGCCATCGAAGCGGGACACGCTTCACACTCTGGAACCCGAATATGGAACGAGCGGAAACGGGCTTCCGTTGGAGCATTGAACACATGGTTGACGTGGTGTCGTAGTGCAAAATTCCGACAAAGTATGCAGTGTTGCTTGGTCAAGGCTATTGAACTATAACGGTGGTTGGAAGCCTTTAGGGATAACATGGGGTAACATATAACTCTATATGTGACTGCCAATACGCATCTACCGGGCGACGCATGGGGTGGCTTTAGGTCACTGTGGGGCCACCCTGGACACTAAAGCACAAATTAGAAGGTCTCAGTGACTCAGTGGCAGGCCCTTTTCCTACCGACCGCATGACTCGGCCATTGCCGCGGGAATCTGGAATGGGTTGTAGAACCTTCGTAACAAACAAATATCCCTATAGCCCTCCGTTCGACCATGAAAAGAGTGCGGTTGACCTGGCTTGGTGGTGCAACATTCATTGTAAAAAAGCTGCTTGTTCGATAAAATACATTAAATCAATCAATGTTTGGGAACCCAGGGATCTACTGTAGTGTAATGAGTGCTCCAGTCAAACTTGAACATTGACTCTGCAGTGTCTATAGTGAGTAGCAAAGCACTTTCAATACAGGTGGCTGTCAAAAGCAACTGCTTCTGCAGCAACAGGCTTGCCTTCAGCCAAACAACATCAAAGAAGCCTCTTTGAGGAAAACATTGACTGCTACACTTCTTGAACGCCTAGAAGTAGGACGTCATGCATTTAACCATCAATAAGAATGATACCACGTGATACTGATAAAGGAGAAACGACATCAACAATCCACAGAGTCTTTTGCACTGACCAAAACTCCAGTACGTTGACCTCAACAAGAAGCCCCTTGACGCCTTACACCATCTGGTGAAACATCCTAGGACGTCTATCACTTGTAAACCATTAGTGGGATCAATCAGTTTTCTTTGAGACTTGACCCCAAAACAGCTATATGTTCTGTCGGTATTCAGGTAGCATCATGGCGGCACTGAGACCCACCTGCACACGTTAGGCAGGTCTATTTTAGGACGCGAGTTTAAGCTGAAGGGGCTGCCGTCTTTGTACAGCCTCGGTGGGTAGCAGAATGTGACCACTTTCTCCTTTGGACTGACTGCCCCATGTTCCCGAATGTCCATGAGGCAGAATTGGTTTAACACTCCAACTGGAAGTTACTGTAATCAAGTGTCTACTAACATCAAGTGTCTGCATTAGACCACCCTAGAGTCCCTAGAGACATGACCCCAGACATGAAAAAAAAACACGATGTCCGATCAGTGATGTCCGGCTGGCTGCTAGGTACCATCGATCAAAATTGGTTGTTCACCTGGGGGTATCCTCTTCCCATAAATCAACCAAGCAAAGTGCGCAGTAGTCCGGCCATCTATGACATCTATGATGCTGTTTCGTCGTAGTCGGCGGGCGATGAGGTCTGCTTTCACAGCCAGGTGAAACGGCATTTAGAAGGTTGAGTGGAGCCGTGTTGCGTTTTGAGTGGAAGAACTACTCAAAGATTGGCTTTTCCCGACCAGAAAAAGCTTGGTCATGTGGAATCTGCTCCCCAAAAGTGAGGACTGTCGGCGCCCAGGTACCACCCGCGAACTGGAAGACGTGCAGTGGTTTCTGCAACAAATACGACAGGCCACACGATTCTGCTGCTATGCTGCGCTGCTTAGATGATTCTCACATGCCAAGAACTCTTCAAAAGGACATGCTTTAAAAACAAACAAAACACGTGATAGGACATCATTCATTCCTATTCCAGAGGCCCAAAGACAAGCTGCTTTTGTGTTGGGGCCAATGACGCTGTTCTCACAAACCTAAAGGGAGGTTTCCCCCCTCGTCACACTTTTTGCCTACCCCCCAAACACCAGTGAGTAGACCAACCAGAAATTCTAGCAAATCTTCTTAGTAGTAGTCCTTGGTTTGTTCTTCTCTTGGGCTGCTTGAAAAAAACCACTTGAAGAGCATCGAATTTCACGCCAAAGCTGTGACTGCATGGCCACAGGGGGGCTGTATGCCGGAGGCGGCCGCGGGCGCTCAGTTGATTGGTAGGCAGGTAGGTAGGTTGCTTGGCGAGCCCAAACAAAGAAAAGAACAAGAACAAGAACAACAACAAAAACAACAACTATAATAACTGGAACTACTACCATCACCACAAAACATCACCATCCCGGATCATCCCTGAGACTGTGCGGATATATTCCCGAGTCGGTCTGCAAATCCTTCCGGGTCGGTGTGACGTAGTCGTGGGGCCACCGTCCGAGCTGTCTCCGTACGGTGCGTTCAACAGGTCGCTCTCCGTCTAGACCGGTCTCCCGGAAGCAACTCAGTGGTCGCGAGTGGTTGATGGTACCGGAGATGTTGGTTGCAGCTATTTCAAGCAAGAGACATGACATCCCTGCCAACAAACATCCACGTGAGGTTTCTTGGTTGACTCCCCTCAGTTTCCCTGAAATAAATACAGGTTCACCCCTTTTCCATCCGGTTAGAAGTGGGGAAGCAACCAATCACAAACAGAATGAAACCGTGATCCACCACCATCCCGCTTTCTTTTTTGTATTGGCAATATCTCCAACAACAGCAATGGTCAGGTCGGAGACCAACCTACCCAACCTGACTGCCGTCGACTGCACTGATGTCAAAAGATTGGGAACTGGAAATGACTCAGGAAACACTGGAAGTTCCTTTTTAGTAACTTGGTCGTCACAAAGAGAACACATGACAGTGCTTCGAAGTTCCACTATGATTACTTGATCATCGACTGGTCTTCTCTGATCTTCACATTAGTGGTTTCGCGCTCGCGATCCATCCGCAGCTGAACCCGTCGGCCCCGCGTCGCGGTTGCGGCCCCCTCACGCGGTCGGCTGCGTTGCAGCAGCCACCGGCAGCTGTGGACTGCCGAGTGAGTACCTCGGGCGGTGTGACACATGTCGGTGCATGAAGTGGGCAATGCTCAAACAGGATGTGGGACATCTATAGGATGACACCTACCAGTACCTTCCAGCAGATTACCAGTTGAGATTTCAGACAGGCCTGCCTTTCCCAACCCTCCATGTCGGAGACCTGTTGGTCGTCGGGTGCGGAGTGCTTCGAGTCGACTTCGAGTCGAGACCCTCCAGGTGGCCCGAACCACTCGACGCACCCAGCAGGCAGCTCTGACCGACCGAGCCCCACATCCGGAAAGGTCCTGACGGACCGAGCACCGAGCCCAGAAATTTTCCAGTCGTGGGGTTTGGGTAGACGGTAGGCATGCCAGGTCTATTCCTTTCAGGACTGTCCAGTGCATGGGGAATAAGACAAAAACCAACACCCGACGACCAAGAGGTCTCCGACATGGAGGGTCTTGGAAAAGGCCCTAAAAAGGTCAACTGGTAACCTGTTGGAAGGTGCTGATCGTCTGTCGTACCGATCGTCCGTCGCTTTTCTCGGGAACTTCACGGATCAAAGCAGGCTAAATTAAACTCTTTTTCCATGCTCTTCTCGGATGAGGGGACATCTACACCAAGGTTCAGGACGACGTCACAATCTCTTTGATCAAAGATGCTCACCCTTTCCACTATCTGAAACACCAAGGCCTTCAAGAAGGACCGGTTGAAGGAGCTGGGTGCCACTTCCCGTGGGAAGTGGCAAACCTAAGGTCTCTCCAATGTTGGAACCAAGCAATGCCGGATGGTTTGGGGAGGAACATCCCACGGATCTCACCACGGGTACCTTCGGTTTCCACCGCGCCACAAGCGCTGCTGCTCGAGGTCCAAGACTTCGAGGGCCTCGCGGAAAAAAGCGAGCGACGCCCATTAATGACATGTAGATCGACACATCTTGGTTCTTTTACATGTCACTTTAGATCCATATTATATATACACTATACTCTTCTACACCACGCATGATTCAAGTAGACTGCAAGATGTGGTTCCGATTCTCTCCAAGACTCGTAGAACAAAACCAGAGAAACATCTGCCTTCGTAAGCATCTGGAAGCCCTCTCGAAGCTGCTCCTCCTGGGAAACGCTCGACGCACATGGCGAGACGGATGGTGATGAAGTCTCATTCCCAGACACTCCGTGCCCCGCATACCTTCCGGTCGGCCACGTGTTAAATGATTTTGACCCAAGAACTAGAACCATTTTGTTCTACCAATTAGGATTTCAGACTACAACACCAGCTGAAGAGCCAAGCTAACGCTTTGAATCCTCTTAGAAGGCCGGGGGGATTTACCAGCCGTGGCCTGATTGGCAGTCGATGCTCAGGCTGTCGGGGTCGAGTGAAACCGGACCGAGCTGCTTGTCTTCCTTTTGCCGAAACGGTGAAACACATATAAAAACAGATTCCCCCAGTTTCGGGGTTCGCCCAGTTCTGTTTTTTTTTGGCGGGGTGGGAGAGAAAACACCCACCATGTTCCGCAACACCAGGCTCAAAAATCACTTTCAGGATCTTGAAGACATCCTGTGAGGAATGGTCCTGGCAGTCCCCCCAAAAGCACATATAGTTATGAAGTTGGGTGAGTAAGCATCTTGGTTTGGTGTGGGGGTGTGCATGCCATCCCCTAATATCACCCAATATCAATCATTTCGACCAAAAGAGGTAGTTTTTTCGATTTGCAACAAAGAGTGGATGTGCCGGCGTTGAAGAGACCCAGTGCCGAAGTTAAACGATTTGACTACCTGAAAAATCGAGATAATCATTACAAGGGGTGTCCACTCGAGATCCCCAAGTAGTGTACGGCAGTCTATTGGATGCCCATCGGATGATCCTGGTACACCTCATGAAATTTAAATGTTTAAACTCCCAAAGAAGGGATGCGGACTGGCATCGTAAATCTGACCAAATTACTCTAAAAACAAATAGGACCATAGGAACAGATTCTAAGTAGCACCACCCCAAATTATATGCCAAAAAAATCGCTCTACTCGTCGGGTCGCGCCACACCAACAACACCGCGCATCTCAGTGAACGCAGTTCGCCGCAGTGCGCTCCGCGTCTCGCCTGGATGACCAGTGGCGGGGCGCAATGCAGCAACGGGGGGCGAAAGAGCGCCATCAGGCCCTGATCGCGCATCGCCTGGAGACGTTGGACCCCCCCTAGAACGACTGGGTATCGGACCCCAACCGAGGCCGTGTCTGCCATTGAGCTTGGTGGATGATTTTTTTGGGTTGGTAGTTCAACATATATATACCTTCCAGCTTCTTCAGTTCGTGACCTTTTGAAGGTTCCTAAGTGACCCAAACAGGAGGCTTAAGTGACCTCAAACCAGGTTATCAAAAGGTCACGGTTGATATAGGTCTGTGAACCACATAAACATCCACAATTGAAACATACTGAAACTTATGTGACATAAGCATCCGCTGAGAAAAAACAGGTTCGGGAAACATGCCGCTGCACCAATGAACGCCCGTAGTTTGTGTATAAACGCCCGTGGAATGTAAGAAAACAATCAGAAAACCAGAGAAACATCAGACTCAAATATCAGGGACTCCAACATATGTTTTTTCACGCCGCAGTTTTTAAACAAAAAAAACACACTCTGGGGACTCTGGGGAAGTTCCTTCCTCTTAGAAGTTAAGAGGTTGGGACCAACAATCAATCTCGGCTCGCCAAGCTGGACGAAGTTCCGAAAAAGGCACCCTGGACTCAGGTGGACCCTAGAAAAAAACTGGGAATCGATGAACACTGACTTTGGAGCCGTTGAAAGATCGATTTTGGAAAGGACAACTTCACCGAACAGTCCGGGCTAGGGACACTCGGCCAAACACCTACTAACCTATACTAATGTATAGACAAAATACCCACTGCAGTTGTAACAATGAGATTTACTTCACTTCGATTGATCCCCACTCATTTCAATCTGACAAATTGAATCGCAATCTTCTTTTTTTACGGCCAATCTTCTGACATTATTTCTGGCATATCTTCTGACATGCTTTCTGGCATATCTTCTGACATTCTTCTGGCACATCTTTTGACATTCTTTCTGGCATATCTTCTGACATTCTGTCTAGTATTCTGCGCACCGCATATCATACTGTGGCTTTGATGAAACAACTCATGTCGCTGCTGCCGGAAACAGTGTCCGTCTCGTTATGCTCAGGTCTGCCCCCGACGGGTATATTTTGCTTGTGGGTATGTGGCGCACAAGTGAGAAAGCGACTCGAAATAATGAACGCATAGCCGCAAGAAACGAATCCAGGCCTCACACGGCTTGAGGTCGAACGCCGCCGTCGACACCATCAACTTGGACTCGTCCTTGACTTCCACCGACTGTTTGCCCACCTCTTTCACGTGGCTCATCAACCGCTGTGCGGGCGACTGCTCATCCCACATGGCCTTCATCTCCAACGCTTTCGCACGGTTCTTCTTGCTCCGCCATACTGCGTTCGCAGTCAACGTGTCTTGCCCGAACTTTTGCTCAGCCACATAGACATCCACCATGCGGCAGCAGCCGCGACAGCAGCTGCCCACTGGGCGGCGAGACTGCTTGCTCTTGTTGTATTGAAGTCGCACCCACTGTGGCATTCTGGCATTCTATCTCTGGCATATCTTCCGGAATTCTTTCTGGCATATCTTTTAACATGTTTTCTGGCATATATCTTTTGACATTCTTTCTAGCATATCTTCTACATATCTTCGGCCATTCTTTCGGGCGTTCCATCTGGCATATCTCTGACTCTCGATTGAGGTCCGGCGGGGAAACGCTGCCATCCGAAGGGAGGAGGAGGCGGAGGAGGAGGACGAGGACGGCAGCTGACATAAAATCTAACAACCTTCACCTGACAGGTGGGGAAAAAAACCACTCCTCATTCCAAGATGTCGAACTTAGCCGACTTAGCCTTTTGAAAGTGACCGACTCATTTAATTACTTTCAAGCCAATCAGTGACCTGAAGCCCGGGCATCAAAGAACTTTTAAAAGCAACCATGATTTCTTTCGCGTGGTGTGTAGGAGCGATGCCGTAGTGATGAAGAATTGCTGCCAAAGGACCAAACAGAGTGAGACTGATCCAAACCCTTTGGATCAGGGTATGGATCGGGTGTGGGTTTTGGTGCTTGATCCAAGCCTTAAGTGTCTGGCCGTAGCCATATCATTAGTGCCTATAGCCAACTTACTGTTGATGAAATAAATCCTGCATCGCGTGAGAGGTGGAAAGGGAAACATGTCGGTTCTTGTGGTGTTTTGCTGCAGGATATCTTCCTTCAACAGTGTCCCTGGCTGCTCCAATGCTGCTTTCAACTCTGCTGGTACTGGTGCCGCAGTTCATGAATCCTCTCCTTGTTCAAAATTTCAACAAGAATCATGCAAGACCTGGAAAAATATTGCCGAAATTCAACCAGTGGGAAAGTCCAACCAATCTTCACCTTTATGCTGAAAGGTCTGAGCAGCTTTTTTTTGGGCTAGGCTTAGCTCTGAGACATTCAGAAAACAGATCACCATCAAAAGACAAGAAAAGGTAAAGCTCTTCACAAATCCTCCACGAAAACGCCTTCAAACTTCACATACCAGCTCTCCAGAAAACAATCAGAACCTGCAGCATCCTGCAGCTGCCACTTCTGCCAGCTTCCGTTCGCGCGCACCTCAACCTCACTCGGAAAGATGAAAAAACGCAGGTGCGTCTCACACTCACGCTCACGCTCGCCGCGCACAAACGAGTGCCGCCTGGCGTAGGAGCTGGACCTCCGGTGGGGAGGCACCGCCCAGGCGTTGGATGAAGTGGCCATTGGGATTCTGCAAGTCCAAGCAGCCTCGGGAACCGCCCATGCGACACAGCGACCCAACGCACCCGTGCGGGACGGAAGAACCCGTCCGACCAAGCCATCGTCCCATCGAAGCCGAGGCCGTGGTTCATGCTGCCCCAAAAGGCGGAGAGTTGGATAAGCGCCTATCTATGGAATATCAGAAAACAACTCAGAAAACTAGTGAAACATCCGTAGGCTCAAAATTTAAGCTGTGACTCCAACAAATGGGTTTCACGCTGCAAAAAAACACCAAACGGATCATGAAGAAGTTCCAGCTATGTGGTACGTGGGTGGCGGAGGGTGTGTGGTGCCTGGTGGGGCCCAGGGTGCATGGGTGTTATGGTGGGAGTTCGGTAGAACTTGTGGATCTGCAGAACTAAGAATGCAATCATTGATGTCAAAGGCCTTTGTCCAAATCCTTTGGAAGGCTATAAGGACTTCCTTTAAAGAATTAGTCGTCTGGAGATGGGTCAAAACCTGGAGTTTTGGTCCACCATGTAGCTTGATTTCCCAGGTAGGCCAACAAAGCTATCCTGGTTTTGACACACAACAATCCAAGATTATCTGCAACGCATCCTCATAGTCGGAGAGGGAACGCACCTGTCCCACCCGTGCAATGGTTTTCACATGTTTTCACATAACGGAAACTTCCAGCGAAATCTCTTCAGTCTGGACATGGCTGTTCCAAAAAGCACGCCACCCAAACGCAAACCCCTCATCCCTGATCAGCCTTCCATCCAAACGGGTTGATCTGGGCGTTGTACGGTCAAATGCTACTAAAACAATTAATGGCTGATTCGGTTAGAACATATTAGACCCCTCAAATCAACGGTGAATCCTCCCCTCCCCCCCGGTTCGAGCCCCAACGTTGCCGCCACGGGGCCAAAGAGCCCCACGTTCCGAGCCTGGCGACGGGGCGCCCTTTCAGTCCCAGCCGGGAACAAACCCAAACACGACCTGTTTGGGACTGGTGGCCAATCAGTTGGAGTGTGTCTTTTTTTTTTGGGGGGGGGTCAATGTATCCCAGACACGACCCATGGGACTGCCATAGGACTGCCGCCCCATTGACGCCCCTGGCACCACCCCCAATGTAGGTAAATATGGCAGTCCCACTGGCAGTCCCATGGAGTGTCAATGTATGTATACCAGCACCTTCTAACAGATTACCAGTTGAGACCTCAAACAGGGCCAGACCTCTAACAACCAACCCTCCATGTCGGAGACGGTCGTTTCGTCGTCGGGTGCTGGTATATTCCAGTCCCATGGAGTGTCTGGGGCCAATGGACTTCCAATACCTGGACCCTCCAAGATCGGTGTTTCCGTTCATCAGGTGCCCAGCTTCACCACCGCGGTTTTCGGTCGCGTCTCCAGGTGAACCGAACGGAGTTGGAAGTGTCTGGGACAAACATGTCTGCCGTTTAATTTGCAAAGGAACTTCTATAGGTATATTATATCTTAGGAGTGTCTGGAAAAAGAACCTGACGAAGTTTGTTTTTTTTACTTTGATCTGGACATCTGGCTGCCCTTAAAGGGAGATCTCCAACCATCGGGTAGACTGATCAAATGTCCTTTCTTCCAAAGGGTCATTGCCTGGGTGGGCTCCCTATATTTTAACTACCACCACCCACTACCACACCCTTATTATACATCCAAGTCACCTAACTAACAATATATAACATATTCACCAGGTTTGGGGGTTCACCCAGTTCGGGAAAATTATACACAAAAATAACCTGATCCGCCCAACCAACTTGAAAGGGAACAAGCTTTCCCTCCGCCTGGCGTACACTGTCGTGCTTCAGGACCAAGTTCTGCAGCTCCTACCAGACTCACCCATCGACGCCCCTTCAGTTCCCAAGCCTTTCCCGGTCCAAATCCGAGAACGGTTCGGGTCCGGACCTCTCCAGCGGTGAAACACAACTATATCACTATGGATCCACTGGCACCGAACCTGGGGTACGGTGATGGGATAGTCTGTTTTTGTAGGCCCAGCCACAAGAATCCATAGAATTCATACACCTTCCCTACGGATCCACTGGTACGGTGAGCCTCCGGCCCGTCGTCGGGGCGAGCCTATTCGGTCTGGTGATGGCCCGTGGATCGCCAGTGGAGCCGAACCGGAGAGCTCTCCCGAACCGGGTCGGTGTTCGACACGGGTCGTTGGGACTCCCAGTTGGACAGATCTTCTGCAAAGGCACCAGCTCGCAGCTGGCTCGGGGTGGTTTGCTTCGTCTCATCCGCCGTGGATGTGATGTGCAGGGCACACAACCCCCACTTCCTCCAAGTTGGGCAACCACAACATGTGACTCCTGGTGAGTCTTTCTCATTTTTCGTCGCCGAGTCGAGCCGGAAGGGTTGCAGAAGCGGAGCACACCCCATCTGGTCATATGAGAACGCAGAATTCCATGGAGTTTCACAGATGGCATGTCAAGCTATCTACTTGGAGACTACCCATCAACACACTATTTATGTTTAACTTTTAAGCATGGAACTTCTCCCAATTCGGAACACATGATGTACAGCCATATAATAAAGCCATGTCCACTTGTTGGTTTCCTTTGACAAACCTGCACCTCATGCAACAGATTGGCATAACAAAAATCCAATCCATGGGTAACGGATGCGAGGAAACAGTGGAACGAGCATCATGTTTCTTTTTTGTGTGCTCAGTCAAACTTGTCCCAAAAGACCTGGCCCCAACTCATGTTTTTTCTTCCAAGCAACAAAGGATCCTGTATAGTTGCAAAACTGAGGTTTTGTTGAGTGACTATTTTGTCTTTCACAGGGGTCTTTGAGAGGTCTCCCTATTCTAAATATACACGCATATGATCACACACGTCGTGTGGTTGCTGCGGGTCGGGTCGGAGACCCCGAGGCTCTCCTGCATCATGACATGCTCCAAAGACTGAACCTTCTCCACGATCTTCTCCTGATCCCAGCAGGGCAAATGGATCTGGCCAGACATCATCAGACATGCGAAAAAAAAACAGAAGAAGACACAGGAGATGTGGTTTGCAAAGGTGCAAAGGTCATACCTGGATAGATTGATTTGGTGCCTTTGTGGTCTGCAAGTGCGCTGTCCCGTCCCATTCCGCTGGTAGAAAATCAAGGCCCGGTGAGAATATTTTTTCTGAGAATCTGAACCCTTCTCCAATAGAAGGACTAAGAGACCGCTGCCATGGAGGACCCGTACGAATTCTGACGGTTACTTGGAGTGTTGGACTGAGGTTCCCTGTGAAGTCTCCACGACACTTGCTGGGGGTCTGAGCCGTTTTTTTTCGCCCGGAAAACGCATCTGGAGAAAGATCATGATCCACCCACAGATGCAAACCCTTACTTTGGGTCTATAATATGTAATATGGCTGTTATTATAGAAGCCCCCCTATATAGACATCTATGCCATTGCCATTATAAGAAGTCTGCTTAGAGCTGTTTTGGTCCACTTTGGGCCAGAAGCATCGCTGACCACCGTTGGCCCACACATCATCCGTTGGGGCCAGTCGGCTGTTGGGGGTCAAGATGAAGAAACTCCAGCGCAAGCTCATCCACACAGCCTCTAACTCTGTAAAGTATACCACTAGTAACAAGAAGTTACTAGGGGCTCCTGGCCTTACTATACTATAGGAGCAAGGACGCTACTAGGGGCTCCTGGCATCGCTACTAGGAGCACCCCCCCCACATCCCCGAGAACCACGAAGCCCAAGAACACCCAACCACCCCGCGAAAACAGCGGACACGATACCATGTCCGGAGGTGATGTGGAAATGCTATTCCCAAACACGACTAATGGGACTGCCAGTCCGGACTACCGCCCCAGAAAGGCAGAAAGGGGTGGTTGACTGGGGGCCTTTCTGGGGTGGCAGTCCAGACTGGCAGTCCGGACTGGCAGTCCCGTGTGGAAATGCTGTGCAGTTCAGATCCTGTCGGGCCTGCAACAACATCGGTCCTCATCGCATCAACGACTCGTCGACCCTTTTCAACGCGTTTTTCGCAGCGCTGACGAGCTCGCTCTCCGTGGATCCGGAGCGGTCACGGATTCCACCAGCCTGGAGTCGACCTATTCGTAGCTCGGACAATGGGGACTCAGTCGTACCTGATTTGATAGGGTCATGTCCCATTTTCGGTACTTGAAGTCGCGTCTAGGAATAGACTTCACAGAAATACACACACTAGTGGAAGATGCTTTTCCTCGTTTTCCTCCTCCTCGACCACCATCCGGACCGCCAGTGTTGAAAACAGGGTCCTTGGTTCTATGTCTTCTTTCAAACCCTATAGGGATGCAGTCGTACTTTCTCAGAAGGTACCTGGACCCTCCTGGCACCTACATAGCAATGTCGAACACATCACCTTCTGACAAGATACTTGCATCCGAAACAGGTGGAGATATGATTTCGTCTTTGGACTCACCATGCCAGTCATCTGCGCGTCGTGCAGCTCGCCAGTCGTGCAGCTGATCTCCATGGGTCGCAAGGATCTTCATCTCGGATATCCATCAGGAGGCCGAGAAGTCATTCCTGTCCCCACACCACGATCGAAGCACTGTGGACGATTGAAAAGTATCATCTGATGTTCATGTACCGCACAATCCCTCACATACACTCTCAACGTGAATCAACCTCTCGAAAAAAGGGATCTTCACAACGGTTAATTATTGATCGGCCATTTGAGGTACTGTAAATCGCAGAGTACTACTCAAACTTCCCATGGAAACCTGTTTCAACAAAACATCACCCCAGAGATCAACCAAGAAACGCTCTCATGCTACAACTGGCCGCCGTCCTTTTTACCTGCTACAACTCCGATCCAAGGGATTGAAGGGAGAACCAGGAGCCCAACGCTGGACCACCAAAATGGGTATATAGGGGCTCTTAAAGCGAGACCTAGAAACCCCATGCAACGAGCAGCCAGGCCAGGAGTTCCAAGGGGGCACCTCTATCCTCCATTAAGCACCCCGGCATGGAACTGCTGGGGTATGGGTATTCGCTCATCTGAAGCCACAAGTCTTCACTAGCACATAATAGAACATACATAGTCGCATAGTGCTCTCCAAATAGATGGTGGCACGTTTTACAATACATGTTTAGTGGGGATTTACTTTTTCTATTTGGGTGTCTATATATACATCGAGCAGTGCGTGCAAGTGTTCAATTCAATCCCTGGCGATCCACGGGCCACCTTTTCCGGTTCGGCACAACAGGGCCCGAGAAGAAGGAGGGTGTGCATATCTAAATTACATAGACAGTCTCCGTGCTCACCGTAGCTCAGAAGGTATGTTCTTTTCAAAAGTGAGACCCCCCCGAAAACTACAGGCTTGGCACATCGATCGGTTTTCTGAGTCGCCTTTTTCATGGTGGCGGTACCCTCGGCTCCGCGATCGCTGTCGTTCACCAGTGGGACAAAGCTTTGTGGCGTTCACCAGTACCCACCAAACTGAAAAAATGAAGCCCCAGGGCGGCATAGCTTGAATGATTGGTCACAGATCGGTTATTCTCTCCAAGAGGTTCCATCAAACTGAGCCTTGCCAACAAAGGTTGAAGAAGCCTAGTTCGACTGCCCATGGATGCTGTAAGGCTATAAGTATGGTCTATAGGGCCCTTATAGGCAAGGCTGGTTGAAGAGCCTCAAAAAGGTCACTTAGCCTCTCAAACTGAGGTCCAGGATGGCTGTCAGGACGATTCGACGCCCTGCCCCAAGAATTGAATCTAGGAATCCATTATGGCTTCAAAAGGCTGCAGCCACAAAAAGGCTTTTGCAGCCCATAAGAAACTGGCCATGGACTGGAAGAGTTACATAGGACTGGGGCTCATGAATAGGGTGAAATGTATGTCACGTATTTCATACATGCAGTGTGTGACCATGTAAGTGACCATGTCACCACTCTGAGCTCATCCACCAACCCGATCCCCGCACAGGGCATCGGCGGAAGCGCCTCGTGTCGCCCCTGTGCCGCAGATTCTTTGACACGCGCACAAGAGCAGTCGGAGACAATCCTGAGCACAAGCGCTTGGGAGAGAGAAGAAACTCGGAACCCGGAGCCCACCAGCTCTGTATATGCCCTACCTAGGCTTGGGCTTCCAACCACCAATAGAATAGAAGATTTTACGACACCAGGTCAACCAATATTTTAATATCTTTTAATGGATCCCTAGCGATCCAGTCGTACCGAACTTTATGCAAAATAGAGAGAGATGGTCTGGTCCTGGCTAACTATAACTACGCTGGTCTGTTTTCCTTCGTCCACGGGCTCTTTGGAGGTCTCCCTATTTCAATACACACTCACAGACCTTTTCAGAAGGTACGGCTGCCCCCTCCAAAGGCTACAGAATACATTCTCCAATCACCTTCTCAAACGGTCTGGATCCATCGGACAGGGAACAGGGTCGACCCAATCGAGAAATCCCACCACGGACCAGTCCGGAGCCCCGTGCACCACCGAAAACCTCCGGCGCCCAAGGCTCGTGGACCATTCCTTTGCGTGGCCAAAGCTGCACCACTTCCTGGTGTCCCTGTTGAATGGCGAAATCCAAGGCAGTGAGCCCCTCGCTGGTGGCCTTGTCCTGGTGGCGAAAGCGCTCGCTTGAACATGCACGACCAAGGCGAAGAAAGCAGGAAGTGCCGTGACCAGCGGAAGTCGACCATGTTCACCAATGCGCGCTCGATGCATGCTCAATGCAACGGCTTTCAGGATAGGAAGCTCTACAGGGGGCTTTCTGCCAGTGGTTGTGATTGGTGTTTTCTTCTACTGCAAGGTTCGTCCATGTCGGCAAAGCCACATGAAAGCGACAGGAAAAGGCCTTCACCTTTGGGGCGAAATATGGTGAAACCGCTCGGATCCAAACAACAGGAGCCAGGATTTCCCTGTATAGGCTCACTCCAGCGGAGTGATGTTTCCATCGCTACAGCCCCCTGACATGTTGGAGGCTTTCCTATCCGATGGTTAAACCGTGATGTAAGTGCGTCTGGCCGACCTGGCTCCAAAAAACCTTGAGCCCCCAAAACCCAAAGGTTGCAGTCGAAAAATCAATCAATAGCTACCACCACCACCACCGCCGCCACCACCACCTAAAGGGTGTTAGATAGAACATAACTAGTCAGGGGGGGCTCCATCTTGTCTATAACCCCTTTAGAGGTGATTCCGTGATTCGGGGCGTCCATTCACCACTCCAAACCAGGGGCTAATCCCTAAGGCTCCTGTCCCATCTCCTTAGGTTCACTGGTCTTCGGCCCGCCAAGACCACCCACCCACCCCCAGGGGCCCTGTCCCATCTTCTCAGCTGGAGCCCTAGGGAATACGTCCATCCTTTTGCCCCCCCTTGCCCACCCGACCTGCCCCCCTCCGCCAAGCGTCAGCGTCCGCTTTGGCCTCCAGCAGACGTCGCACCACCACTTTTCGGCCGGCGCGAGCGGCCAGGTGCAAGGGCGTCTCGGACATGGACTAAGCACGGTGTATGGGCAGGAAGCACGACTGATGGGACTGGACTGCCACCCCATTGACCCCCAAAACCACCCCAATGTAGGCATATATGGCAGTCTCATGGAGTGTCTGCGATTGTCAAACCCTGGGCCTCCAGTCGTACCTTCGTTTAGAAGGTGGGACTGGGGGCCCGGGTGCCAGGAGGGTCCAGACATACCTTCTGAGGAGGCATGACTGGAGGTGTAGGGAAAGCGGTCAGACGGGCCATGAGAAGTATACCTGGACCGCTCCAGTTGGTACGACGGGGCATGACCCTGACCAAAAAACAGGGTACAAGTGATAGCCGTTTTCTGAGGCACATTTCCAGGTTGACTCCAGGTATGGGCCATACTCGAAAGCCAAGGGGCGGGGACAAGGAAGCGAGCTTTAGGGTATGATGATTCACACATTCCACATGAAAGAGACCCTGCTTCGTCCGGTGCTCATTGCATCTCATTGCTTCGTCTGTGCTTGGA